AGTCTGCAGTTGTAAAAACTTTGGAATGTTGAAACTAGCTATCGACTGACCCAAGTTCCTTGTATTTCCGGGTCTAAAGACAAAGGAACCCTGGGCAGGTTCACATTAGCAGAAGGACTTATTTTTAAAGGATCAGCAACACTTCCTTTTCTTTTCATCCTTCCTTTTAAAGATTTATTTATTTTAGAGAGAGAAAGAGAGAGGGAGAACAAGCAGGAGATGGGCAAAGGGAGAGGGAGAGACAGCATTTCAGGCAGGCTCCACACTGACTCGGGACTCGATCTCCCAACTCTAAGATCATGACCTGAGCCCGAGTCAAGCGCTGGACGCTTAACCAACTGAGCCACTCAGATGCCCCAACACTTCCTTTTCTTTGCTGAACTGCTAGTCTCTAACTGTGGTCAAATGCTTCCCACATGATTTGCCCTGTTCTTGATTCTTACAGACTATTTCTAGGATGTTCTTCCAAACCCAACCCAACTGCATTCAGGTCCTCCTCTTCATAATCAAGTGCCTTGAGATTACTTATTTTTGAAAGACTGGATACACTCTTGTCTTTGAGTTGTGCAAATAAAGAAGCCAATTTCCTTCTTTAAAATTTAATCAATCAATCAATTTATGTATTTATTTTTGAGAGAGAGAGAGGGAGAGAAAGAGTGCAAGCAGTTGTGGGGGGGTGTTGAAGGACCAGAGGGAGAGTGAGAGAGAATCTTAAGCAGGCTCCACGCTCTGCACGGAGCCTAACACGGGGCTTGATCTCACGACCCTAAAGTCATGACCTGATCTGAAACCAAGAGTTGGATGCTTGACCGACTAAGCCACCCAGGTGTCCTGAGAAGCCAATTTTCTAAAAACAGACTGAAACACACAAGGCCAAAAAAATCCAAAGAAAGCTCATGATTCCACTGTTTTAAATTTTAAGAACAGATATCTTAGTGAGGATGGTAGAAACTAATGATTACGAGTAAGAACTCTGGAGTAAAACAAAGTGGGTCCATCTCTGCACTTACACTCTGTAACCACGGACCAAGTTATTTAACTCATCAAAGAATTTCCTTTTCCTGGGCGCCTAGGTGGCTCAGTTGGTTAAGCGACTGCCTTCGGCTCAGGTCATGGTCCCGGAGTCCTGGGATCGAGTCCCGCATCGGGCTTCCTGCTCAGCAGGGAGTCTGCTTCTCCCTCTGACCCTCTTCCCTCTCGTGCTCTCTATCTCTCATTCTCTCTCTCTCAAATAAATAAATTAAATCTTTGAAAAAAAAAAAAGAATTTCCTTTTCCTCCTCTAGGAAAGAGAGAATAACGATAATAGCATGGACTTCATAGGACTAAACGATATGCTGTAAAGTTCTCAAAAAATGGCAGCTGCCGTTGTTATTACCCAAGTGTGAACAGCAGACTGTGAAGTCCAGCTCTCATGGGAGCTGATTATCCTTCATTCAAACGGCACCTACGGGGCCCCTAATCACAGGTACCGTACGCAGAGCCATGGATTATTCATGCAGTGTGTCATATCGGACTCCTAGAGCCAGGATGGCTGGAGAGGTGACTGATGAAGACTTAGAAAGATAGGAGAGAGTGGTTTCTCCCTCACCCCCCGCCCCGCTTCAATCAACCCTTTTCCTCTGGGGTCCACCATCATCCCAAGAAAGAGGCGTTTTGAGAATCATTCACCTCAACCACCTGCATTATGCACCGTGCTTCCAGATCGGAAGGAATGGAATTTGATGCTCCTCTATCACATGCAGTTGGAGACCAGGATGATGAGAAGGGAAGAAGAAAGATCGTCTGGGAGAGCAAGTAGGCTTCTCTCTACTTGCTGGCGAACAGAGCAAATTCATGAGACAGTCTCCAAGCTCCTAATGGTTTTCCTGATAAAGGGGAAGTGCGTGCTGAAGCGGAGATATTTCTGCTTGTCTTTGCCTGATCGTATCCTTGGAAGTGACCCCAGGTCAGGCTCAGGCTTCCTCTAGGATCCTACCGGACCATTAACCACTGTCACTCTCTATTAATCATGCCTGGTGTCTTTCAAACTGTCCTGTGTTCCCTTTCAAAAATGTCAACAGGACAGCTGACAGGGAGAGAGAGCATGCTGCAACTTAGAAGTCTCAATTTAGAGTTCTAGAATTCTTAGTTTATTAATTTCTTCTGACAGAGCCCAGATGTCTCCAGAGTAATTAGTAACAGAACAGGGTTAATGTAGCTGCCTCATGGTGATGCAGATTCATTATGACCGATTGTTCACTTACAAAAATTAAGCATGTCTAATTGAGTTTAAACCCAAAAGGACAACACCAGGCTTGCAGCCCACAGATAGCTCCACCTATCTTGTTTTCTCCTATTTCAGAGGCTACCAGACACTACAGCATGGTAAGGATTATTAGCTTTTATGTATTTTTATCTTTCTGATCCAAGTTATCTAGAGGTGAGGTTTATAGAGAGTAGGTAAGTCCACTGTCCTTGGAAACGGACAGGGGAAGCCAGAGATTGGGCTAATTCAGAGAGCCTCAGGCTCTCATGTATCAAGAGTCCTGCGGATACCAGGCTGCTCAAGTTCATGGCTCATAGCTGAAGCTGGGAATGAAGCGTGCCTTCATCAATTAGATAACTAGATAAATTAGGGGATGTTGTTGGCTAAGAAATTCTGTCGATTCTTCTTTTAAAATGTCTTTTCTATTGTTCTGTGCTCTCTCCTCCTGCTGGGATCGGCCAGATGCTCGTGAGCTCATATTTCAGATGCGGGAGAAGCTCCCCCCATAGTCTCCCTGGTTCAAATTATTCCATTTAATTCCACTAGTGATTCTGGAGAATGAGGCATAGGGCTAGCCTTTTTTAGGCCTTCCACCTTCTCTTTCTGTTCATTCCACACAGTGACCCAGGAAAATCTTTGAAAGGCTAGTTTTCATCACATTACTCCCCTGCTCAGAAACCTCCAAAGGTTCTCTGCTGCCACGGGAACAGAATCTAAATCCTCATATGCCTTACCTAGTGAATGCTTTCTCAATACATCCTGAGAGGGACCCTCTGCCCCAGCTCGGCCGCTGGTCATGGACCCAAAACAATGCCATCTCTGGGCCTCTGAGCAGGGCCTTCTCTCCCGAATGTTCTCCCCTCATTCTCTATAAATGCCCTTTATGCTTGAAGGGACAGCTCAGGCTTCAGCCCTTCCATGCCCTTTTATCGGATTGCATGGAAATCCAACTGATACTCCAGAGAGTATTTTGGCACTGTATTATGTGTACATATAATATAGAAACATACAAAATATATACACGTAAAATTTATATATTAAACTGTTATTTGCATCCACTTTGATACCTAGCACATGTCTGATGAATAAATATGAACTACATACAGGAGTTTATTTTGCAATATTTAATCTTCAGGGAAATTTGGCATCAAAGCCTTCAAAAGCCTACAGCTCTTCAAAGGTATATAATTGATTTCTAGAATTAGAATAAGCAACTTTAATTCTAGAACAAAATTAGGAGAAACGCCTATGCTTATAAAGCAATGTATGCCGCTGAGGATGTTCGCTGTGGTGATTTTTACAACAGGAGATGGGAGAGTCCACAAGGGGCCAAACACATAAATCCTACTCCACACCGGGCAGCTAACAAAAGCATGTTGGGGAGTATTTATGAACATGAGAATCAGTCCACAAGATAGCACTGTGTGCAAAAAGCTGCTGATAAGAGACTGTGTAGAGCAGGCATTTGACTTTCATTGACAGACAGATAAACAGACAATGGTTATCTCTTAGAGGCATGTTTAGGAGGGCATTTTCTCCTTTGTGCTTTTCTACGCATTTACATTTTGGGGCACTGGACTGAAGTGTTATTAACGTGTTGAATGGTTCTTTTAGATGGAAATGTGCTCTTTCGAACCACAAACATCTGGCTTGGATGGACACACACGTGGATAGAGTCGTTTGACTCAATCTTGTGTTTAAGTTGGACTCGAATGAAACTCAGCACCACGTGGGAGACACCCTCCTATCGCAGAGACAACATTCTCTGGGTAAGGAATTAGGAAGCATGGGGTCTAAGCGTGTCCCCGCTGCATAGTTCCTGCTAGGCCTGATAACAGCACTCATTTTTCTTAAACTTCAGCTTTTCTACTATAAAAGAGGCAAATATTCTGCCCTACCTCTATCCTCGTCACGTCTCACAAAAATGTACAGAGATCAATTAGAAACTATTTGCGAAAATATCAAGTGCACTATAAAAAGGCAACTGATCAGATGGAATTACTCTCAAGGTTAGAGAAACAAGCCCCTGAAATCTTCCCTCTTTAATTAAATTAAACCCCAACGTTAAATCAGAAAGTAGTGTCTGATTCATGGGTGGTGAAGTACAACTTCATTAGATGGCCAATTTAATAGCAGTGGGTACGGTGAGTTCACTAACACTTTCAACATGAAAACATAAAAATCATTTTAGGACAAAACTTAACTCTTCTTTTAAAAGTATTTCCCACAATACTTTGCAGATGATCTCTACTGTTTTTTTTTTTTTTTTTTTTTTTTAGCAGAACAAACAGCACAGACATGAATTTTAATAGAGGAAATATGCCGGGCTTCAGATCAATAATTTAAAGACAAAAGCTTTAAAGCTTTGGCAAACTCATTACAAAGGGAACAAGGTACGACTCTTCATCTTTGCAAAGATTTTGACATTGAATCTAATTCACCTCGATGGGCAAATAATCGTGAGTCAGTCACACAAATACCAATGTACATATTTACAGATACACATGACAGAGGCTCTTGGCATACGGCTGGTAGGTGCATATCGAATATCGAATGCTTCTTGACAAAAACACACAAACCCAGATCACAACTGCGTGTACCAAGACACACACGGAAACACCCAAACGTCCCACAGAGCAACCTCACCGGAGAGGTGCAACAGGGCTCACTCAGATAAAAAGAAAAAGAGAATAAGAGATTATCCCTTGAAGGGAAGGCAGGGCTGCACGCCCCTGGAAGACATCTTGACTCACCTGTTAAGTGGTTGGCAATCCTGGCAGTGGGTTTGGGAGGCAGGGCGGGGGGTTGCTTGAGAAGGGACAGCTGCTTCACTGGGGTCTCCTCATGGTCTCCAGAGAAAGCAGCAGGTTTTTTGGGGGGCAGTAGCAGGACTGGTTTGGCTGAAGGATCTTGGGACAGGAGGACTCCAGACTCACTGGCAGAGGGACTCTCTTCAGACACTGAGGGGACAACCACACGACACACAGGAGACATTACACAAACGCAATGCAGGTGGGGCCGGCGGGAGCACACAGGACCGGGGTGTGGGTTAGCAACACAGCGGAGCACCGGCTGTTCCAGGCCGTCGTGAACGTGCGGAGAGTTAGAGAGAGGCTGCTAGAAATTCAATAAAGCAGGGGCGAGGGAGTGGAGGGACACATCAGGGAGGTTGAGGCAGTAAGGGAGAGGTGGGGGGGGGGAAGGGGGGAAAAGGGAAGAAGACATTTTCTCCAAACTCTCCCAAGCTTCACCACTTCAACTTGGCATTTACACTCCACCTTCTGTGAGTGCTCTAAACGTGACTCGGGGGACCACGGCAACAATCCACAGATGGCAGGTGCAGTGGGTCAGGGACAAAGTGTCCCTTCTGAACAAAACCAGCACCAAATGCTGGCATCTTCCCTTGGGCCTGTTTGCTCTCTGTCGAGAGGAAGACAGAGGAGATTCTGGGGCCTTGTTTTGCCCACTGGGTCTCCCCGGGTCTGGGACATGAAGTAATGAAGCAGTCTAGAGGCTGACACCAGGCCTGGCATCCCCACATGCCCGGAGTGGCTGCTCGTCCAGGTTCTGGGGCCAGCCAAGCAGTTGTAGGGGCTCCTATAAACCTTGACCAGACAAAGGATGCACCAAGACAATGTCTTCCTGTCTCCCCGCTTCCTCTCTCCTCTCAGTTGCCGGAATGATGGTTTTCTGTTTGATTTCCCCCATTTCTCTTTGTTCGGCATTGGGTCTGGCTCTACCTTTCTGCCATGGGAGACCCCAACTGGCTCCAGTTAAGAGCTGTCCTGGGGCGGAGGCGGGGGCAGCCTGGCCAATAAGACTGAAACTCTGCATTCACTGGGATGACAGATCTCCCTCCAACGGTCAAATCTGTGTGATTCCAATGTCACAAGAAAGGTTGGATGAGAACACAATTCACTGCTTTAAATTGAAAAAACCTGCTCAGCCTGGGGGGGGGAATGTAACTCAGATGCATAGTGTCCTGCTTCTCATCGCTGCTGATTGGCATGACTCCAGTGACTCTCCCTGACCTCTTCTTCCTCCCTAATCTGGGTTGCAGTGTCCCCTGTAGCACTAAGGCCCTCACGAGCACTCGGCTCTCCCCCTCTCCCAAGGGACGCCGTTATCATCAGGTCCCAAAGTGGAGCATGGAACTGACTCTGTGACCCCAGCTCTCCCGTCTTCCCACCCGAGCCCTGCTCATGCGGACTTTGCATATGGTGTGGAAAAAGGATGTGGTCTTTCTCCCCAAACTCTGGAGATTCCGGGAGTTCCCTCCCCCTCCACCCCTCCCAGGCTCGCCTCTTGACAACAGGGACCATGCTTCACTGGCTGTTGGGAGGATCCCACCTTCTGTGGGAGTGACTACTGACCATTCAGAGGGCTTTGGACCAAAGAAGTAGTGATGGTCCCATGGTTACCAAATATCACCTGTCAGCAGCATATGAGTTAGCCAGTAAATTGTATACAATTTAATAGCCAATTAACACATCGACTGTGTACAGTAAACGGATACAATTTGCTAAACTGATACAACCATTAGCTGGCATATGGAGACAGGGCTTAAAGGCCATGCCAGGGTTTTACAAACACGTGAATTAGATAGGTATCCTTTAGAAGAAGTGTAGGATTCCTTAGCTTGAGCTTAACAGAAAAGAGTGCTAGGGGAAAAAACCAAAAAAACAAAAATGTCATTTAAAATGACATTTTAAATCTCCAATAGTACAAAAATAGGGCCTTCTTCTTTAAAGACATTAAGATTACAAAAAATGTTTTTGAAAACTACAGAACAGTAAGTGTAAATATGTACTGATTGGGCAGTTTCGTCCCCATTTCCAGGAGATTCTTAGGCTCGGGGTGGTGCAAAACAGAACTCCAAGTCCAGCCAGGCTACAGGTCCTGAATGCCACATGCAAGTCAACCAGGGGCATTACCTGTCCCATCCATGATGTCTGAAGGTTGGAGCACCTCGTATGAGCAGGGATCCCTGGGCATGGGGACCGGCTCCATTTCGGACAGGGCTGGCAGAGACAGCTGGCTGGAACTCAGGGACTGTCCGTTTTCCAGCGAATCATCTTCATTCGATATGGAGAGCTCCCCATCTGTGGGAGCGAGAAGGGAGATGGCACAGTTAGACAATGCCCGCCTTCCAGGGAAGGGTGACAGTTATCGTCGGCTAATTGAATCTAAATGTTTTTGAACAATCTTTATCAAGGTCAATCTGTAAAATCTACACTTGTTCTTTTGCTTTTCAGATACTTATTTTATTTTTAGACATATGGCATTGGACTACGAGGGTGGCAATTTTCAGTGACCTCTAGCAAATTGCCTGTTTCTTCTTTCTAACCATAACTACCATATTTTGTACGTATTTTTTTTAAATGAAAGCGAATTAAAATTAACTTTTCTTCCTAATTTTGGAAAACCTGGAAAAACTGAGCAAGCCTCAAGGATTGGAAAACCAGGATTAAGAATGCGAACTTTAGGGAGCCAAGGGCTTCCTGCCACTCAGCAAACACCAGATGCATGGTTCTCTAAGGCTCTAGGAAAAATGCATCTTCTTTTCTCTCTACTCCCGCCAGCACCCAATTTCTCCAGGCAGATAGATGTTTAGGAGCTCGAAGCTCCCCCAGGCTTCCCTCCTGACAACAGGGACCACTCCTCACTTGCTGCAAACCTTCTGAGGGAATGAGTACTGACCACTCACAGGGGGCTTCGGGCTGCAGCGTCCTAAGGATGCTGGAAGTAAGCGCCAGAATTCTCCCAGAGTCCACCAGTGGTCACGCCCTTGGGGGGAGCCGACTTTGATCTTGCTTAAAGCTCCTCAAAGCAAGGGGCCAGCAGCTAGTTAACACCACAGGAGACGATCAAAGGCTGCCACACAATGGCCATTTGTCAAATCAAAATTCCCCCAGTGTGATTTCATCCTAGCCCAGGGGAGTCCTAAATAATGAGGCATTAAAGTCAAATTAATTTTTAAAGAGGACCGAAAGCTGTTCCAGTAAGATGAATAAATATCCAGGTGAAAGACTCCTACGTTATGCTTAGTCAGAAACGGAAACCAGCAAAGCAATCACCTGCCTTAAAACTGGAAGAAAGAGGATTTAGTTGTAGAAATGAAACAGTGACACGACTCCAAGGTGGATCTGGTATAAATAATCCTTTTCTTGTGCGATGCTCCTCCCAAGGCTTTAATTTTATACACAACAATATGTGGTAGTAAAAGGATGCTCCTCCAGCCCCCTCCCTCCCCAGTTAGAACTGGCCTGATGAAACGTTCAACAGAGTCATCTACAAACCGACAGGCTTTAGACACCATATGGTTCAAGGACATAGGCTATTTCACCTGAATCTTGTATAAACACGGAAAAAAAACAGAATAGATACCGTAAAAAACCATCGGAGGCAGACAACAGAAAGCACTGACGCACTTTAAGATTGTGGTTTTCTCCCCATTTTTTTCATTTGGCCTTTCTGTATGCCCGGAATGGCTCGGCAGTTAGTATAACTATAATTAACAAAATGATTACTACTCCCTGTTGATAAGAGAAGAAGCGCAGTGTGGACTCTAAGTACTCAGCCAAACCGGGAGTCTTCAGGAGGGAAGGGACTCGGGGGTGCGTTCCTGCGTTGCCATCCTGTCGGGGATGGTCCCTGGTCCCCTTAACACGCTTGAATTTAGCATGTTCGCACTGATGTTGTGGAAAGTAGCTCCGATTCATGTTCCCAGTTGGTGGAATAATGATGCCGCTGCCATTGAGTTTAACACATCTCTAGGAAACCACTTTGATTTTTGATGTTCCCAGTGTAATAAAAGTCTCGGTTAAGACAACACGAAGAGGAGGGGGGGTTTCGGGGCAACGACAGAATCAAATGACTGCTGTAGTTTTGGGCAGGTAAGAATTACCCCAGAAGGGGCGCCTGGGTGGCTCAGTTGTTAAGCGTCTGCCTTCGGCTCAGGTCATGGTCCCAGGGTCCTGGGATCAAGCCCCACATCGGGCTCCCTGCTCAGCAGGAAGCCTGCTTCTCCTTCTCCCACTCCCCCTGCTTGTGCTCTCTCTCTCACTATGTCTCTATCTTTCAAATAAATAAATAAAATCTTAAAAAAAAAGAAGTACCCTAGAAGCAGTACTAGGGAAAAGATACAACTGTAGTTGGATTCCTTTAGACTCTATGAATCTCGGTTTCATCAAGGTGGCTGGCTTAGTGCTGGAGGCTTTGCTAATAATGGAGAAGCAGTCCTAGAGACATAGTGACTCTCAAAAAATTTAGCTCCCCATAGATTAAACGTACCTTTGCTAAGTCGCAAAGACCCAAACGGCTTTGGAGAGGAAACAGTCTTGGTTATTCCATTGTCACAATTTCTAAAAATACATTTCCACCAAAAAAATAATAATGAAGAAAAAAGAGTAAGACAACCTAACCGGAACAGTTTATTTATCGGTACATATATATTTTTAAATCTTATTTATTTATTTGACAGAGAGAGATGCAGCGAGAGAGGGAACACAAGCAGGGGGAGTGGGAGAGGGAGAAGCAGGCTTCCCCTCGGAGCAGGGAGCCTGATGCGAGGCTCGATCCCAGGACCCCGGGATCATGACCTGAGCCAAGGGCAGACGCTTAACGACTGAGTCACCCAAGCGCCCCTTGGTACATATTTTTCATGGTTGTGATCTTACTATGCATTGGATTTTATGCCTTGTTTTTTTTACTATTATAAACATTATAATTTGCATAATTATAATCTTAACGATTATATTGGATGAATAAACTGAATTTTATTTAACTATCTTCCTATGGCTGATCATAAGGGGGTTTCTCATGTTTTATGATATAATGAAAAAAGGAGGCTGTGCCAATCACTTCCCTGCATAAAGCCTTTTCTGCAATTAGAACGCTCCCCTTTTAGGAGAAATTCCAATAGACAAAACTTATGTGTATTAATATTTCAATAACTAAGTGACAGATACTTGAATCTTGTAAAATTGTTTTGTGAAGGGTTTCTCTATTTACATAGCATCTGATACATACATCTGATCTATGGGCAGATCACATGAATTTCGTAGCTTTTGGTCATTTCTTCAATATTGACCTTCATAACCATGTTTTATCTACCTACCTACTTACATATATATGTGTGTGTATGTGTATATATATATATATATACACACAGATATATATATATCTCAATCTAGCAGAAATAAATTGAAACCATTCAACAAGTATGACAAATCCATTATTAATATCATTTATGACCAAGTACGGTAGAGACAAAAGTGAAGACCATCTGATTGGGATTCATTTAACACGGGGCTACAGTGATGTTGCTACCGTTAAGTAACAGCTGTTTTAAAATTCCTCTTGTGACATTTTCAAACATACACAAAAGTAGAAATAGTAATATAACTGACCCCATTTACTCATCATCAAGCTAAGAAATCAGCTGGGAGTTCCCAATGTTTGGTAATTCCAAATTCTATTAATTTGAAGAGTATGTAACTCTCGGTGTCCTTCCTATTTACAACAGAAGGTTTTTACTGGCATTTTAATTTGCGTTATTAGAAAAACTTTTTCTTTTTTAGAAAGAACCTAATCCCTCCCGATGAAGAGGAGTCTCATGGATTATTTGTACCTTCATCTATCAAGATCATCACTGTCTCTTGTTATCGGGGATGAGAAAGAGTTTGCTCTTTATACTAATATTAAAAATAATATTAGAAATAATATTACCCTATATAGTATTAGAAATCATTTTGTTGTTTTACATGATCTTCTAAAATGAGCTGTAATAATGGTTTCCAAACTAGCACACAACAACTACCAGTAGAAGGAATGAGTAGTGGGAACAGGGAGAAGGGGGAAGGCTCTTGAGACCAGAGGAGTGGAGACGGTGCTTCTCCAGCTTCAGTGGGCATCGCAGTTCCCTGGAGTGGGGCTGGGTTCCACCCCCCGAGTTTCTGCACCAATAGTTTTGGGGTGGGACAGAGAACATGCATGGCTAGCAAGTTCTTGGGGGATGCTGGAGCTGCTTCTGGCTGCTCAGAATTCCACACTTTGAGACCCACTGGCTTGGAGGTTAGGAATCAGAGATGCAAGAGAAACTGGGACGGCAACAGTGCCTTATCATGATGAGGTCTGGGGCAGGAAATGCCGTTTATGGGGCTAACACGGAACAGGGACAGTTGGATTAAACCTCAAAGAGGACAAGAAAACAGGAGGTTGCATTTGTCTAACCAGGGATCGTGAATATGAACTTGTCACAAAGGAATATGGGACTGGGGAGAGCCGTAGGGGAGAGTGGAAAATTAAAAATGTGAGCCAGCTGCAGACATACTTAACAAGATAAAATCAGGTCACAGAAGTGACAAGAGAACATGATGCAGAAGTGAGTGCAAGTCAAGGTTGCAAATTTTAAATGATGAGACACAGAAAGCAAAGGATCCACGCTACAGAACTGGTCATAGAAATTGTAGCAGCCTTCTCTTCGTGAGACGTAAGAAATGAAGATGTTGGTAGAGGCAGGTTAACAACCAAATCAAGGAGAGTGAGGGGAAAGGTGACGGTGAATTAATTCATTCAACTGGCAAACATCTGTCGAGAGCCTGTAATTAACAACCCGCATCACAACCCAGAAACCGCAAGCTCTCACAATGACCTTGTGAGTAAGGCAGATGTTTGCTTTCAGCACCTTCTGATACGTGTAGAAACCCCTGCCTGGTCTGCTGTCCCCCAAGCCCTGGAGCTTTACCACAGCCCATCCTGCCTCCCCTCCCACAAGCCAGGCACAGCGCCAAGTGCTAAGGGAGGACACAGACAACACAGATGAAGAAATGCAGAAACACAGACACCCGGAGGAATTAGCGTGAGAGGTGAGAAAACCAGCAAGAGTGAGAAGAAAACCCTGAGACGCTGATGAAGAGAAATAAGAGCTGAAGTAAGATACAAGACTTGCGCTCTGCACAGGAGACCACGTATTTGAGGAGGATTTTGTTTCGCATGGAATTTTCTTTAATGTTCTGAAAGTATGATTTACCTAACAGTTGTGATCCAGAGAACTGGCTCAAAAGATCCATTAAAAAATGTTTTGTTTTGGTTTATTTAG